AGTAAATAAATATTTGATGGCATATAGCAGCAAAGGGCTTGGGTTAGGGGGTAAATCCCTTGCATTTCTCAGAGCTTCTTGGCTAGAAATTCATTTGTTGCTTCATTTTGTGTCAGGAGTCCACAGTGTGAATCTCAAAACAATTCTGAGCCTGGGTAAGACTCGTTTATAATGGAGATGTCTTTGACTGGGCAATGGTTAAGGATGCTTTGATACATGGGTTAGTGGTGACCCTGGCAGTGCTGGGGAACGCTTGGACCTGACGAGCTTAAAGGTCTCTTCCAACCCAGTTGATTCAATGATCCCATGTTTCTCCCTTCCAGCTAACCAGTCCTCGCAGCTATTTAAAAGCTTGCTTCTATTTTGCCAATTCAGTTTTCAGAGTCATTTCAGGCCCAGCCCAAAGGGAAACTCACTTTGTCTTTAAGCAAAAATCCAGATCCCACCCCCAGCTGCTCTGATGTGCCTGTTTGGGAAGAAGCTCCAGGAACAATTGAAGCCGTAACACAGAGCTCTGAGCACAAGACACGAACCAGACGCCAGGCAAGAAATTATTACTTCTGTTTCTATTCCATTATGCTTTATGCTAAAAGACTTAAATGATCAATGCTGTGTTAATAAATTTCATTTGGCTCATTTAAGAGATGACTTAGTAGAGGAGTGAGTTTGGCCATGACCAGGAATGAATTAATAACTATGCAAGGAGCACATTCCCTTATAGAAATACTTTATACTGGCCTAATTCTTTATTCACTGATGCTCTGCAGGACTGCGCTGCTCCTTTACGAGTATAGGTGTAGCTTTGATTTGGAGACAGGCATAAAGTGTCCCTTCAAACACAGGCTGAATGAGGCTCTGCTACCAGACCCCACTGGAGAGCTGAACCTCAGAGCACGGAGCTTATATCCCAACTGGCCTCAGTCCTCCTGTTGTGTTTCCTCACTAATGCCACTAATTTCCCTGGGCTTTGCAGCATGTGGGCTTGAGATGAGAGCGAAAAATGAAGTTTGTCAGCTTTGTTCAGCTGGATCCTAGCTGCTGCTGGCATTTGCAGTGCAGATCCTTCAGCTGCTGGCCCCAAACCCCTCCTCCTCAAACCAAAATCATGGAATCCCAGCCTGCTTTGGGTTGGAAGGGAGTTTAAAGCTCCTCCAGCTCCAACCCCTGCCACGGGCAGGGACACCTTCCACTGGAGCAGCTTGCTCCAAGCCCCTGTGTCCAACCTGGCCTTGAACACTGCCAGGGATGGGGCAGCCACAGCTTCTCTGGGCACCCTGTGCCAGCACCTCAGCACCCTCACAGGGAAGAGCTTCTGCCTTATCTCCAACCTGAACTCCCCCTGTTTCAGTTTGAACCCATCACCCCTTGTCCTGTCCCTACAGTCCCTGAAGAAGAGCCCCTCTCCAGCACCCTTGTAGCCCCCTTCAGACACTGGAAGCTGCTCTGAGGTCTCCACGCAGCTTCTCTCCTCCAGGCTGAACAGCCCCAGTGCTCTCAGCCTGGCTCCACACAGGAGGTGCTCCAGCCCCTGCCCATCCTCGTGGCCTCCTCTGGCCTTGCTCCAGCAGCTCCATGTCCTCCTTACTGAGGACACCAGAACTGCACACAGCGCTGCAAGTGGGGGCTCACAAGAGCAGAATAGAGGGGCAGGATCCCCTCCTGTGACCTGCTCTCATGCTCCCTTTGACACAGCCCAGTATACGAGAGCTTTCTGGCCTGCAAACATCATCTGCAGACCCAGCAGCAAAGGCAGCTTGCTTGGGGCGGACACGCTGCATGCCCAAGTCTCAGTCCCAGTTATTCCAGTGTTGCCAGACAGCTTGTGCATGTCAGAGGGAAAGTGCTCTTGGCTGGGGATGGGGTCACGCTGACCTCCCATGGAGCTCGCTGCTGCCAGCATCTTGCGCCAGCACTTCAGCAGCAGGAGTTTCTTTGAAAGGAGGTTTGTTCTGCAGGGCTGTTTGTTCTGCAGCAGGCACCGTGCCACGAGCAGCGAGGCAGCATGGGGGAGATGTGGCAAAGCAAGGCGAGATGCGAGCCCGAGCGAGGAGATCCTCTGCCTTGGGGTGCGCAGGACGGACCAGACAGCGCTCTCCCTCAGCCGGGCAGGAGCTTATGTTGGTACCAGCATCACTGGGCAGCGTGGGCAGGGAAGGAGGACACTTCTCCTCCATTAGTGTCTCCTGTGTCTGAGCTTTGCTTGGTGTTTTCTTCTCTCTTAGGGAGGTCTGCCCAGTGCTGAGCATCTCCAGGAGCAGAAATGCCACGGACATTCCTTACCCACTTGATATGCATCAGTTTTGCTTAGGGTTATAATGTTTCTTCTGGCACTTTAACAGCATTTTCCCTGCTGCAGCCCCAGCCTGTTGGTTCTCATGTTGTTGTCAGTGACTAATGAGGATAATTTCTCCCCGCTTGCCCTGTAACAGCCTCTTCCAGTTGCAAACAGCATTCCCGCCTCCGTACAGTCATCCAGGCTCCAGCCTGAGAGCCTGCCTCTCACAGGCCCACTTCTCAAAAGCCCTGCATCATTTCTGTGGCTCCCCTACCACCATGCGCTGCTGTAGGGTCAGGATATGCATCAAACCTCATGGAGGGCAGAGAGGATGGAGTTGGGCTCTGAGCAGCTCGGGTTCAGAAAGCCAAAGAGACCCCACGGCTGGAGAGGAGATAACTGGGGGTGATACAGGTAATGGGAAGGAATGTTGTTCAAACAGGGCAGCTGGACCTGCAAACACCGTGCGTGAAGCTCAGGCCATGCTCTTCACTGTGCTCTGCTATGCAGATGTCCTTGTAAAAGCCCTTTTGGCTGCTCTAGCCTCAAGTTGGGGCAACGCAGATAGGCTGCTATTACACAGGCAGGTGAGAAAGCAAGAACAGGGATAGAGACCACGTTCTTGCAGTGCTCAGAAATGCCCTTTCAGACTAACTGCAGGGGCCGTGCTCGAGTAGGGATTCCCACAGCAGTATCCCCTGCCAGCATTGCCATTTGCTGTTTGCTTTCCTGCAGCACAAATCTCTCCCACCAGCGGCTGAATTAGCACCTATATCTTGCCAGTCTGCTGACTTCCGTAGGTCCTAGAGGCGAACTGAGAGACCCCAGGAGAAAAAGTTGCTGAAAATGGGGGACTGAAGTTATTTCCACAGTGGAACTTGCACTCCTCAAGTATCAATCTGCACCTCCATCTAGTGGCTAGAGCTATATAAAGAGGGTACTGGCTGCCTACAGCAGAAGACACCACTCTCTCTGGTGACAGCAACTCCCACTGCTCACCCCAGAAGGTCCCATCTGCCTGTCCAACTGTTGGCCAACCGGACACAACCTGTGTTTGATCAAGTCCCATCCAACACTGGCTCCAGAGACAGCTGCAAACCTCGGGAAACTGAGGCACCCCAAACCTAGCAGGGCATGTCAGCCTTTGAAAGCATCCCTCTCCAAAGCCACTGAGATCCCAAGGTGCAGAAGCCACCTTGGCTCTGCTCTCCCTCCCTCGCTGCAGTGACCATGTTGGGTGGCTCTGTTTCTGGGCTTCTTCTGGAAGGGGAAAAGTTACCACTGGAGGAATCGGGAACTAGGCTCTCCCCATTGCCTGCCCCTGGACACATGCGCCCGCTCCTTGCCAGCCTTGGCTCCTGGGACACCAGCACTGCTAAGCAGTTTGGGATGCTGAGAGGAGAAAACGGTGCCAGACCTTCTAATATCCAGGCACAACCTGCCTGGAGGCCCTGTCTGAATATACATCATATGAGGTCGCTTGACTACAACAGAACTAGAACTGCCCCTAACTAACAACAGGGCTCCCTCTACCTTAGAACAGAGGGCTCAGACCTCCAGCAGAGATTTAGTGCCTTCAACAAACTATGGTTTTACAACTTGAAGCACGTGAGTCCTCACCCAAAAGTCCTTTTGGCCCCTCTCTCCCCTACTTGCAGAAACAAAACAGGAGGCAGGTTTCTGATTACGATGCACAAACAGTTCTATCCAAAACCCCACGCAATAAAACGTGCTGAGTAAAACCACTGCTAAAGCTCGTTGCGGTGCTTTATGGGGCTGCTCTGAGAGTGTGAAAACCTGTTTGCTGCATTGTATTAAATGATGAAAAATGCCAAACTCGCAAAGAAGCTGGGCAGCGCATGCGGCTCGACTGCCTCTAGTGAGAACATGACTGAGCCTCTGCGAGGTGGCAGCGAGGGAAGGGGAGATCTCTCAGTGCGCTGCTGCCACGCTGCGCTGCAGTGATTCCAGGGCAAAGTGACCCACAGTAACAGCAGAGCTTCCACCCAGCCCTGCTCCAGCCTCACAACTGACCTGGAGTAGGACAAGTACAAAGAGCACTGGAGCCACAGCACCAGCCCAGGTGCCTCAGACTCTAAATGATGTTTTTCTCTACCTTTTGGCAGCTTATGTCCACAAAATGCATGTGCAAGCTGAGCATCCATGGTGCCCTTTGTGGTGAAGCTGGAGGATGGGGTACCATGAGCTTCAAGAAGCCAGCCCAGTCCCAGAACAGACGTGGTCAGGGCTTGGCTACAGAAGCTTGTTCCAATACTGATCTGAAACTTATTTGCTGAGGGACAGTTCTCACCTGCTTCATCAAGGCAGGAGCAAGTAGCAGTGATGCCAGCTTTGGGGGAGCTGCAGGCACCCTGAGCTCTGCAGCACTGGCGTGCTGGCACTGATGCCCCCCTGCTGAAGTGGCACTTTGCCCTGCTCTCAAACCTGTGGTACCTACCTCTGACGAGGTGTAGGTGCTAATCAAACCCGAGATTACAGTGGGGCAGTGAGGAGTGCAGGAAATGGCATTTGATCATCAGAGAGCCCTCTGTGCCAGACAGAACACTTACTGAGCATCACTGCAAAGGAGCTGGCTTTTCACGTCTTACACTTATGGGAAATACAAAACTCCTATCACTTGAAAAGCACCTTCTCCTGTTAAAAGATATTGTGTATGGCTGTTATTAACTGGGCAGTGCTGCTTTCAGTTCAGATCTATACTCACCTTGGCCTTGGGTCACTCAGTTGAAACCTGAGCTCTATGGATTGGAGGGTGCAAGGGCATCCAGTTACTTTTCTCTTCTGCTCCTGGGCTGGGGCTTGCTTCCTCTTTGCTAGCTAGGAAAGAAAAGAAAATAAAGATTTTTCAGCCTGTGCACAAGGCAAACCCTGCCATGAAGTTTTGTAAGAAACAAGCAGTGCGTGGTCCTTTCAATGGCCCTCCAGGTAAGGCAGGAAGAGTGCAGGCATGAAGATATGAGAGAACTGGTCCCTAAGGCTTAAGGAGTCAGGTGGACTCCAACTGCAAGTACCCAGAGACCCACACACTGATGGGTTATAACAGGAGGGAGGTTACTGAAGCTGTGGCTGCCCCATCCCTGGCAGTGTTCAAGGCCAGGTTGCACACAGGGGCTTGGAGCAAGCTGCTCTAGTGGAAGGGGTCCCTGCCCGTGGCAGGGGTTGGAACTGGATGAGCTTTAAGGTCTCTTCCAACCCAAACCACTCTGGGCTCCCATGATTCTCTATATGCAATAATCTCTGCTTCCTGAAATTTCCAGTGCGGTTGTTGAGGCAAAGAAGTCAGTTCTTGTCCGTGCTCCAGCGAATCAGAGATGCTGCATAAATTATCACTTACCTCAGTGCTTAATGCCATGTTGGAGCTAAGCACATATTAAAAACTAGACAGGTGCTAAATGCAGCTTTCATGTTCGCACTGATACGATGATCGTCCTTCTCCTCTGATCTCTTCCCTCTCCTATGTCGAGTGAGGAAAGAAGACTTGCTGAAGTGCCTCAGTCACTACTGTCGTTGTTGAAAATCCCCCCTTTGCCTTCCAGGTTAGAGAATAACAGAACCACAGAACAGCTGGGGTTGGAAGGGACCTCTGGAGATCATCCAGTACAACCCCCTGCCAAAGCAGGGCCACCCAAAGCAGGTTACCCAGGAACGTGCCCAGGCATGCCTGAAGACAAAGCGGATGCATTCTGACTAGCATCAATCACTTCTAATCCTGCATATCCTACATTTTCTACCAAGAAATGGATGCAAAACATGTGCAGCTTGGTATCTCGGATGGGAACAGTTGCTCTTTGCATGCAGAAGAGAGATGGGCTGAAAAATCAATGTGAATTCAGGTTTATGGGTTAGGCTTCTGCTTTTATCCAGCTGGATAAAAGAGGGGCTCTTCATCAGGGACTGGAACGATAGGACAAGGGGTGATGGGTTCAAACTGAAAGGGGGAAGTTCAGGATGTAAGATAGATATAAGAAGATCTAAGGAAGAAGTTCTTTACTGTGAGGGTGCTGAGGTGCTGGCACAGGGTGCCCAGAGAAGCTGTGGCTGCCCCATCCCTGGCAGTGTTCAAGGCCAGGTTGGACACAGGGGCTTGGAGCAAGCTGCGCTAGTGGAAGGGGTCCCTGCCCGTGGCAGGGGTTGGAGCTGGAGGAGCTTTAAGCTCCCTTTCAACCCAAACCAGGCTGTGGTTCTGTAATAAGGGAGCCCAGAGAACCCTTCCCCGAAGAGAAGCCACGAATTTAACACCAAATTAGATTCACCAAAAGACACAAAAAGCCCCACCCCAGATGGATTTCCAAAAGCCAGCTGGAGCAGCTGCTGTAGATAAGCCCTGTAAAGATTAACACCTTAGAGAATACTTCTTGGAGCTCAGTCCAACAGCCCAAGCTGTCAGGATCCAAGACAGTGGCCACAGTGACAAGGGGACTCTGCACATTGCAGAGGAGGAGTGAATCTGGCAATCATCTTAAAGCAACTGTAGATTCCTACTACTGCAGACCTGAGGGGCCAACACACAAGAGAAAATAAGCCCTGTGTTACTGGAAAATGAATGGAGAACAGTTTGGAGTATTGTAGGGGTTTCATGCAGTTCACTTTGTGTCCTAAGGCTTTTAGAGAAATGGATTATTCCGGGCATTTTGGGAATGGTAACACACCAGCCTATGGAGTCTCGCAGTAAAGGCTTAATTTGCCATTAAACGCTGTATTTGGCTTTACAAATTCCATAGAAAGGCTCTCACTCAATTCTATTGCTCTCCAGAGAACAACAATTTCATAAAGCACTTTTTGTTCACAGATTCCAGGGCATTTTTGTCTGAAAAGAGATGGGCTGGAGATGCTGGCCTGTGGTACCCAGAGGTGTACGGGCACAGGGTATGTGTGGTGGGGCCATGCCATGTGAAGGATCAACAGAGGAACACTGGCTTCCCGTAGACAAGAAGCCTTCAAGTGGCACAAGCCCAAGGCACAGCACGATGTTCTGATCCTGAAGCACCACTGACCCAGCAGACATTAACAGAGCAGAAAAGCAATGTGAAACTGGTATCATCCCATCTGGAGAACCCAAACTGGACAGATCCACCTGAAAGCTCTGCACTCTAAAAGCATTTTGGGGTAAAAAGGAATGAATCTGTGTCCCCTGCACAGAGCTGCCTTCCCTGGGGCTGGATGTGAAGCTGGCTGAAGCTGATGCGATGTCTCATTGGGTTCTATGCTTAGGGCAGCCTTTCAGAGGTAACCACTGGAGATGTGCAATATATGATTCATGTAGCAGTGGATTTTGCAGACTTCCAGAAATGAACTGGAATAAGATGATAACTTAGCAGTGAAAGTAAATGGGTATTTACAGCTCCTCAAATACAAGAGGGGATGATCCCTTCCTTCCACAACTTAGAATTAGGATTTTTTTCCCACATAGATAGCTGATTTACTAGCTGCAAGTTGTTTTCCCCATCAAAATTGATGAAAGCAAAGGGTCTGATGGGCACTTTAGGGCTTTGAAGAGAAAAAGCCTACAGTATCCACATTAATGCTGGCAACACAGAGTGCTTACAGTACCTGTCCCAACATTAACACTGTTCTTCTACAGCATCCTAACATCAGGGTTATTGGTTTGTTTTTTTCCAACTTTTTTGTGCAGAAGCATTTTTAAAATGGCGAAATTCCCTTAGGAAGAAGAGGCTGCTCTGGAATACCTAGGGAGCTGCTGATGACTGAAGCGAGATTAAGATGCTTTAGATGGCAGGAACGTGACTAACAAATGTGCCCATTTAGTTCGTATCCGTTCTGCTGTCCCCAACTTCCCAGCTATTCCAGTCTGCAGCTTTCTGTTTGGCAAAGAAACAAACTAAAGCTTTTTGGAGCAGAAAGGCAGACATTCCTCCTTGTCCTCCCCTGCTCGGAGGCAATGGTTGAAGTGAGCCTTTGATAAATAAGCTCAAGTGCTCAACCCCCAGCTGCAGCATTATGTGGGAGTCGCATACAAGGAGCTTTTAGGTCTTGCTGAGAAGGGCCCTGAATTGCTGTCCACTTACAATAGCAGCAACAATCTCACTTTTAAGCTTAGTTCATTGGTTTCTGACCACTGGTAAGATATTGACAATACTGTCAATATTTTATTTTTAGTTATCCTTTCAGGTGCATGTCAAGAGTAATTCCAGGAAAGCAGGGTTTAGAGTCGGGATGCTATTCTTCCACTTCAGATTGCTGAAAGTGCTTGAAAGTTTCTGCCAAAGGGAAAGAAACCCCATTTATTTTCCAGCCGTAACAGTGGCATGAGAAACCCAGCAGTAAGGAACTCCAAAACACAATGGACTTGGTTCACTCAGGCCTTCTCAAAAGGGTACTTAAGAGCATGAGTTTGTGGGTGGCTGAAAGCTTATAGAATAATCACAACATAAGGCACATCTTAACATCCCCAGCCTCTGCATCAAGAACAGAATACGCTGCCAATATCCCAAACACACCCAACCCCACTCACATCTCCCCTTGTCCCCAAAAGACCTTGGCCCGTGCACAGCTTCTAAGGATCCAGGCTGGATGGGGCTTGGAGCAAGCTGCTCCAGTGGAAGATGTCCCTGCCCATGGCAGGGGTTGGGACTGGATGAGCTTTAAGGTCTCTTCCAACCCAAACCACTCTGGGATTCTATGGTCCAATGCTGAGGAGCCTTGCTTTGAATTTGTACCCTTACTTCTGTCACAGCGCTTCCAGGCTTTTACTGCCCATTCCCCATCCCTAGAAGCGAAAGGCAAACACCAGCCACCGACATCTCCTGTCTAAAGAGCAGCGAGTACTTCGAGCAGATGAAAACACATTGCCTCCACATCACAAAGCCCATGAACCTTCTGAAGCCCAGGTGGGTGTTACAAAAGCCCAAGCCTATCTTTCCCTTCTGACTGGCACATTTCACGTTCCCCCCCTCCTTGCTCCCATTGCCCCTGCAGAGGCAAGGATGACAGGCTGCTCTCACAGCCAGAGTCACAAACGGAGTCGCATTAAGTAATTCCTCAGGTTTTCTCCAGCACAAAAGAAAAATCAAACTTATGTGTGAAATGGCCCCAACAAAATCTAATACAGGAGAAGCACAAATGAGGCATAGAGGGAGCAAAACCCAAACTATGGGGGGGTTTATTGCTATTTTGTCTTCCAGAGTGAAGAGAAAGAACAGTTCGGCTAGTGAGATGCTGGCAGCATCAGCAGGCAGGAAGAAACAGGGTCTTGGTACATTGCTCCTGACATTGCAAGACCAGATCTCGAGTTTCCTGCCAGAAACAGAGAACTTTTGGGTTTTATAAGAGCAGCGGGGGGCTGTCACATGGCAAACTTTCACATTCAATTGTGCAAACAGAGGGAGGCAGGGGGCCAGGACTTGTGTCTTTGCAGAACGTTTTTGGGGAGGTACCTGTGTATTTTCCACCCCTCATTTGCCCTGGACTCACAATGTTGATTTTTCCATCTCCCATCAGTTTTAGGGAGCTAATGGGCAGATGGAGGCAAGACAATAATGCCAGCTTTTGCTAGTGGACAATGAAATATTCTTCTCTTGAGCACAATCACAGCGTGAAAGGTAGAAGGAGAAAGGATGCAAACTTAGTGCTTCCATACACTCCATCAGTGACCAGCTGTACTGCCAGCAGGAGGTCACCCATGGCTCTGTTCCTGAATTACAAAAGCGTTGCATGCTTTTGTCATTTGCTTTTGTGCTGGAGCTGGTTTCCAGAGATATCCTGGAAACATAAACCTGAGTAAAAGGATCAGAGTGGCTGGAAATCACAGTCCTTGTTCCCTGCAAATGGGTCCTGTGGAGACAGCCCCATGCAGAGAGTGTGGGCCAGCTCGTCACACCGAGAGCACTGCTCCATCTCTGCACCAAGCACTTAAGAGCCTGGTTGCATTGGCCTTGAGGAGCTAAAGAGGAATGGGGTTTATTTTGCTTCACAGAATCACAGAGTCCCAGGTTGGAAGGGACCTCAAGGACCATCTGGTCCAACCTTCCTAGGCAAAGCATGAGCTAGACTGGATGGCCCAGCACCCTGCCCAGGTGGATCTTAACAGTGTCCAACACTGAGATTATTCCAATAGATGGCTGTTCTCATTGGGAAAAACTTTCCTCTTGTGTCCAGTCGGAATCTCCTCAGGGGTACCTTGTGCCCATCACCGCTCACCTTTTCCTCGTGACTCCTTGTAAAAAGAGAGTCTCCATCTTCTTTGCAGCCACCCTTTAAATCATAGAATCACAGAATAGTTTAGGTTGGAAAGGACCTTAAGATCATCCAGTTCCAACCCCCTGCCATTGGCAGGGACACCTCACACTAAACCATGGCACCCAAGTCTTCGTCCAACCTGGCCTTGAACACTGCCAGGGATGGAGCATTCACAACCTCCCTGGGCAACCCATTCCAGAGCCTCAGCACCCTCACAGGAAAGAATTTCCTCCTTATATCCAATCTACACTTCCCCTGGTTAAGTTTTAACCCGTTACCCCTTGTCGTGTCACTACAGTCCCTAATGAAGAGTCCCTCCCCAGCATCCCTATAGCCCCCTTCAGACACTGGAAGCTGCTCTGAGGTCTCCACTCAGCTTCTCTTCTCCAGGCTGAACAGCCCCAACTCTCTCACCCTGTCTTCATACAGGAGGTGCTCCAGCCCCTGAGCATCCTCGTGGCCTCCTCTGGACTTGTTCCAACAGTTCCATGCCCTTTTTATGTTGAGGACACCAGAACTGCACACAATGCTCCAGGTGAGGTCTCACAAGAGCAGAGTGAATGCGGTGATTTTTGGTAGCCTTCTGTCTCAATATAATGCTCATTTAATTCCTTAAAGCAAGCTTTTAGACTGCTGTGCTGGTGCACATCTGAAACAGTGCCCTGTTCTAAACACAGGTCCTCTGTGTGTGGAGGAGGAACAGTGCTTCATCATCTCATAATTCCTGCTTTTGTTACTGCAGAAAGAACTTCCTTCGCCTGATTTTGATGGCAATCAGGCTTTTATTTCAGTGGGCACCTCAAACACTGGGCAGTTGTGAGCACCAAAAGGAAGGGACAGGGCAGACAAAGGAGGGTTTGCTAACACTGAATGCTAGCTGGGAAGGGCTGTCAGGTAGACTGAACTGTAACATTTCCCCATGACATTTAGAGGGAAGAGGAGGAACCACCCAAACTGGAATTGCCTTCATTGTAGGAACAATACCGTGGTGATCTAAGAAAAGGAATGACCAGCCTCCAGCTGGCCTGTATCTAAAGATGCCAAAGCACCACACATATTGGCCAAGTTAGTCTCAGGGTCTCCTTTTGTAGTAATGATCAATCCTTTTACCAAGAATGAAACACACTCAAGTCCTAAACAGAGCTAGAAACACCCCCCAAACCTAACAAGCAGTAGTTAGACATGGACTTGGGGTAATGGCTGGACTTAATGATCCCTAAAGGTCTTTTCCAACCTGGTTGATGCTATGATTCTATGCTAAGAAAGATGTCATTTACCCAGCATATTTCCCTTTAACCAGCACAAAGCAAGCAC